GAGACTAGTTTCTCTTCTTCGGTTTTGATTTGAAACAAAATCGATCCCTTTCCTCCTATCTCAATACATGAGCCGTCGCCAAACTTCACCTTTCCTCTGATGTTCTCATTGAGTTCTGAGAAGAACTTCTTGTTTCCTGTTATGTGGTTACTTGCACCATTATCAAGGTACCACAGTCCTTCTTCCGTTTCGTTATCTTTGAAGTTCTTGGGGAGAACTTTCTCTTCGTTCAGAAACACAATGTCGTGCATGTATAAAGCAGGATCGGCTTCCTCTGTTTCTGCTTTATGTGCTTCTTCATCCTTTTGTGGTCTGTCGGGGCACTTTGAGGCGAAGTGTCCGGGCTTGTCACACCGATAGCATATCACATGAGACCTGTCCTTCTTCTCTTTGGCTTTATTTCAGTCCGTTTGTTGTGGTGCTTTGTCTTGTGAATTGTTTCTTCCCCTTCCTCGTCCTCTTCCCCCTCTACCTTGTCCTCTTCCTCGTGACGAAGATGCGCTTCTCTCTTCTGAACTTGCATATAGAACCTTCTCTTGAGAATCTATATTCTCTTCGTCTAAGATTCTCTCTTCATAGGCCTTGAGTCTACCCACAATATCTTCAAAACCTGTTTTGTTAAGGTCCAATACTTGCTCGAGAGAAGCTATTATGTGAATAAACTTTGCTCTTGGCAAGCTATTGAGAAATCTCTTTACAAGCTTGGGTTCGTCAATTGCTTGTCTGAGCGCGGCAGCCTTAGAGGCTAACTCTGATAACTTCCCCGAGAAGCTATCGATAGTATCCGTCTCCTTCATCTTGATCCGATCGAATTCTGACATAAGGGTTTGAAGCCTCGCCTCCTTCACACGATCAGCACCAAGATGTCGAGCCTTTATTGCTTCCCAGATCGCTTTCGGATTGTCTTGTTCACCGACTTGTAGAATAAGAGCTTCCGGAATTGATTGGAAAAGCAGTCCTGTTGCTACGTCATTCTTCTCTAAGGCTTGTGAACCCGGTTCAATAGCCTCCCATACTTTATGAATTCGTAGCAGTACCTTCATCCTCATCGCCCATACCGTGTAGTTCGTAGTCGTTAGCATCAGACATTGTATAGAAGATGGTATTATATCCTTCGGACGAGCCGCTGGAATGATGTCTCCCATGACTCGGTGACACCTTCCCTCTGTTCGTCACCTCTATCTAGCTCAGACTTTTGGATCTCTTATCCTTCAGCTCTGATACCAAATATAAGATCTAAGAACAAAGACACAATCTGTATAAAAGAATAACCCTCCTTTATTGATGTTTAGAAACTTTAACACAAAACTAAACACCTTATTGCTCTTATCAAATGTCACAACTCAACATCGATATTTATAGTATCGACACACTTTGTCAATCCTATTTCCTATTAACTTAGCTAACTCCTAACTCAAATAGGGATCTAATGAGTCTCTCTTATCCTAAACCAACTTGTTTATGGATATCTTAGACTCCAAGTATTGAAGCTTATCTAACATATTTACCGTTATGGTCAATATTGATGTATAATCAGGGGCTGATGCGAATGGTTTCTTTGTTGTGGGGTAGACCAACAACATGTAGAAAAATAAAAGGTAGAAAAATTCATAATGAAACATATTGATTAATAATTTTGGACGGTAGAAAAACAAGTTTGGTTAGAAGAATTTCTGTTTAATTTACTAATGTATTTTCATAGCGGTTTTGGCACGTAGTGATCGGGAAAGTTAGGTATTGTTAAGTTAATTTTTTAAAAAGATATATTGGTTGAAACTTGAGAGTAAGTTTAGTTTGTGAATTCAGTGTGTTAGACTATCTGTATTGGTAAAAAAATCAGATAAATTTTTCATCAATTTAATAATAATAATTTTAATATAATTTAATTATAATTATTTAATTTTAAATTTAAAATAAAGTTTAAACCAATTATATAAAGCAAACATATAATGTGAATCTCATCTGAGAGATTCTTTCCCTTCTCTTTTTTTTTATTTTTAAGTTTATTAATTTTTTTATTTTGAAAGACTTCGTAAGAGATTATGAATACAGATGTTCTTAGGATGATATGGGTATGGGCGGGATGTTGTGATTTAAGAGTTTGTGCGTGTTTTATTTGCCTCCTTGCTTTGCCAGCTAGGAAGTCTTGTCTAGTTTCACTAGTTTTGGTGGTAAATCAACTTTCACAAACTTTATGCAAGCACCAGCCTGTGGCTCTTCGACGAAATTGATACCAAAGTGATGATTAATGACAGACCAACGCTTTGTCTAAATAATACTAGCATTTTTGTTATTTGAAAAATTTATCACGGTTTTAGCAAACAAATAAAACTGCAACATTACTGTAGGATTATTTGGAGACTAATCAGAAATTTTTTAGGTGAACTGTTTAAATGCAAAGTGACGTTTAGAACGAAATTAATATCATATGTTGTGGTTTTAGATTTGAGAGATTATGGGTTTCGGTCCAGAACCTCCTGATAATTCAAAAAAAAAACGTAAAGTGAAACTATCATGCAAAACGTTTGAACGGCCGAAATAAAGCAATTGATAAAAAATGTTTTGCCAAAGTATCAAATCATAGAATCGATTTAAGGATGATTTGGATTGATCGTATTGGTTAAAAAGATACTTTGACCAGATTTCAGGTAGACTAGACAAGATCATCTTGGAAAAAAATGGCCTTAAAAAACGAATCAAAAGTCAATTTTCTAAATTCATAGGAAAGCTGATTAGAATCAATTAACAAAATTAAAAAATAAAAAACGTTAAAAAGAATTTTTTTTTGAAGAACCGAATCCACGGACATCTCTGATAAAAGTAAAAAATACAAATGTTTAGGCTTTCGATGACAACATATAAATAAAAAAACGGATTTTAGAAAAGTATTTTGAAAATTGCATATTTTTCCAATTAAATAATAAAATATGTTTCAATTAAAAAAAAAGAAGATAAATACATGAAATATTCGAATAACTAAATTTTAAAGTTCGATTGCCAAGACGATTGCCAAAATCCTCAACAAACAAACCCAGTTTTTCACCAATATCCTCCGGCCGATGTCGACTTCGGCGTATTCTTCTTTCCCTTTTTTTTTAGTCTTCTGTCCTTTCTGTTTTTATAGATTCTGCATATCTAACGTGGCTTAGAAATGGTGTGGCCATTGGATTTGGAATCCGAACAAGGATCCGTACCGATCAATCCAAGGATCTCCCCTACATCAATTTCGACGTCGCTGTCGTCTTCTACTACATCACCATTGAGATCGCTCTCACAAACCAAACCTGTGTCGCAATGAAAAGGCATGATGCGCTACAAATGCAACGGTTTTTAAATCGTCCTTCATTAATGTGTTTATGTTGGTTTAGCATGGTAACTACTTTTCCTCTCCTCTTTGGAGCGTCTTTCCGGTATCTATCACAGTATTACCGGCGTTATGTTTTTGAGATTGATCGGATCTATTTTTTGAACCAAAATACTCAATTTAGTCTAAGATTGGAACAGTTCTCTCAGCAAAATTCATTACCCGACACTTGTTGGGTTGGGTATGTACTTTGGATTTTTGATCCGGGAATTGGCGGGTATAAGTCTACATTACTTTCAAAACTATCAACAGAAGCAATGGATTCATCATGGCAACAATGGGCAAGAAGATTATGGAACCTTTCAAAAGAACATGGAGAATTTCTACCAGAAGTATCAAGTAAACAACAAGATTCAGAATCATTTTCAACAACATTAAATTTATATTTACTAACTAAAGTAATGCCATGGACATTTTGGAGTTTCGGCAACAAGCCGATAGCCACCAACAAGTATGTGAAGAGGGGACATAACAGAACTTTTCTGTTAGCCTGTAAGCCTTTTGTAATGATAGCTAGGTTATATTCGACTCCTTCATCAAAATTGTTTCAATTTCCTATATTTGCGTACAAGAGTTGTTTGTATTTATTATGTTTCTTTGTAAACTCTTGATATCAATATAATTGATTTGCAGTAAAAAAAAAACTATTAAAAACATATTTTGAAAAAGTTATATTGGAGCTACGCAGTTCGTTTAATAATTTAGATTTTGGATGACAATATGAAAAAAAGCAAATTTCAATTTTTTTTAAAAAAATCATATATTATCATCCAATCAAATAATTAAAGATAATATATGTTTTTCAATAAAAAATAAATTTGGAAAAGATAATTATCGAAAATGAAATGATTATATTATATTATGTAAATCGTCCAATAAAAACTGTTCAACAATTTTTTTTCTTAATATTTTAAATTAATCATCCAATAAACATTTTCTTTTGAACATTTAATATTATATTTTGAAAAATGAAAAGAATCTTCAATTTTTTCCCAAAATTTAAAATTTTCTTTGATTATAGAATACAATAACGCATGATATCGATTGAATAGCTTTTGTTTATTTCTAGGAGTAGGATCAGAGTTAAACTGAGATATATGATATCTCAAAATTCCATATTGTGATGATTTATATGGAACTAAAAATTCTTGTTTGTTTGAATAACCAGAATCAACAAAAAAATATTTTTCTAATAGAGATAAAAGGAAGTCATAGTCGCTTTATTGTGTCATCGCCTGAACAGCAATATCATGGCATGATCATGATGTTCTATTCTAAATAAATATGAATAACATATTCATATAACATATTATCATGATATTTAAAGATGCATCATCATGTCGATTCCAATATATTTCTTATTACTCAAGCTTCATTTTTACACATGTATAGCTCCAAGGAATCCATAAAAAATGGATTATATGTTAGATCTATGAAAAGTCTTTTAGGAATTCGATGTAGTTTTTCTCTTGTTGGAGTTCTAATATAATGACATGCCAGTTGTTCAATCGCTGTAAGAACTTAATAAATTTTTTCTGCACAATCTCTTGATTTCAGCCAAATCTCAAACCAACATCTCTTTAAACTTCACTGTGCCCACATATCCGTAGAAACATAGCAACATTTTCTTCAATGTTTATATATAATGTTGGCTGTAGTCCATAATATGTTTGAAGCGTATCACATAATGTTGTGAAACATGGCAATAACATTCGCTGTAAATGAAAATAAACAGCATTATCTTGTTGTAGTTAATACCAAATATTTCTCCATCCCAAACATCCTTCAGTTTGGACTGGTGTTCTTTCAAAATATCTCTGATAGAAAGTGAGTATTTGTTGAATTATCAATTCTCCAAATTGCTCATTTTCTAAATTTCATAATTCATTTCTCTCTTCGTAACTTAGGTTCTGCAATCCTTGTGCTTTCAACTGACATATACGAAAGGTTTGAAATTGTAAACATAAATGAAAACATATCATTAAGCAAATATAAATTTATATTAAACAATAATAGAAAATGTCAATACTCAATAATCAAAATATATATATATATATATTTTTTTTATAGAAACGAGAATGATAAAACATAATTATCATAAACTAATCTTCGTCTTCTGAATCACTTTTATAAAATTCATTTATGTTTATATATATATTTTTCGAGCTTTTCTATATGTCGAATAGACCTTCAGATGTAGGTATTGGTGATTTACGGGCAGACTCGTAATAATTTGTGAAATCAAGGCCGTGTAATAATGTTTTTTGAGCATTTGAATTTTCTACAACTGCAAAATCTGAAATGTTTAGTTGAGAATTTCTCATACTTTGTTCTTGACTTCCAACTGAAAATCCATAATGAAAATTGATGAGAGCTATTCCTGATGACCCCCCTTGTTGATAATTTTGTGTCTGGTTTGGTGCAAACCCCCGTTGTGGAGTATTCAGTGGTGTGCCCCATTGTGGAGCGTTCGGTGGTGTGCGTCATTGTTGTGCGTTCAGTGGTGTGCGCCATTGTTGAGCATTTGGTGGTGTGCCCCATGGTTGAGCAAGGTGGTGTTCTCCATTGTAGAGCAGCTTGGGATGAACCCCATTGTTGAGCATTTGGTGGTATGCCCCATTGTTGACTATTTGGTGTCCATACTCCTCCTATGCTGTTATCCACCAAGGATGGACTGCTAGATGATAATCCTCCTGAATTTGGACTCATATGATGGTCCCAAGCCTAACAGTTTTGGCACATCTTCATTGTTTCGGAAAGTACGAGTTATCGCTTCTAACAGTTGTAGCTTATCCTCGTTACTGCTTTCAGCTATATCAATAAAATACTTCTGCCAAAATACTAATCCTTTCAGTATATAAGGCATACCCAATAAAATTTGCCTTTTGTAATTTCTAAATCATGGAATATGGCTTCTGTTTTTTTTTCTTCTCCTTGTAGTCAATTTGGTCAAAAGCACTTGGGCGAAGTTGTTGCAAGCTTTGTCATTGGAACTAGCCCTGAAAATTTTGGAAAGAAAGGGAATTTACGGGTAAGGGACGGGAACGGAAAATTTGGGAATTGAGAATCCTATAAAGGAATCCGACAAAAAAAGAATGGGAATCTGCAAGTATGGGACGGGAATGGGAATCCCAAACTCTCAACTTAAAGACATATAATATGGGAAAATTTTGGTAGAATTCAACAAAATTCAGAAAATTATGTATTTTTTTTTAAAATATTATTTTTTTTAAACGGGAATTCGGGTTTAGGATATGGGACGGGTACATGTATGGAACGGTAGAATCTGTGGGTATGGGGTGGGAACGGGAATCACAAACACTCAATTTAAAGACATATTATGGAAAAATTTGGGAATTTTTGAAAAATTTTGGTAAAATTTAACAAAATTCGGGAAATTATGTAATTTTTGAAATATTAATTTTTTTTAACGGGAATTCGGGTTTTCGATCTGATTCCCTTAGCCGTTAAAATAAAATAAATGATCCTGAATGAGAATTTTCTTAAACGGAAATGAAAACAGGATGGGAAATTGAAAACGGGTACAGGAGGGAACCAGGTACTTGTCCCAAAAATTTAAGGGCTAGTTGGAACTCTGTATATCAAGCTATTGTGTCTTGTATGTTTGTTTCAAACGATTGTCTTCTCTGACGTGAACCACCCCTAATAGAAGGTCGTGACGTTTGACATAATCTTTCTGAAGTAGTCCTACGTCTAATGTTTGTTTGCAAATTTAACCTTGATCGTTGATGGCCTCTCCGAGCGGGATTTGGATCACTTCATTGACACGGGGTGTATCATCTTTTTGGGTCTCAGGAACTTGTGTTTCGAGCATGTCACCCATGTCAATGAAGTGGTCCAAAATCTCGTTCGGAGAGGCCAGCAACGATCAAGCTTAAATTTGCAGACAAACGCAAGACGTAGGACTACTTCAGAAAGATTATGTCAAACGTCACGACGTTCTGCTGGTGGTGATTCACGAGGAGGTCGGAGAAGACAATCGTTTGAAACAACCATACAAGACACCATAGCTGGATATACAAAGTTCCAACAAAAAGTTTGCAACAACTTCGCCCATGTGCTTTTGACCAAAATGACTACGTCGAGTGGAAAAACTGAGAAGCCATATTCCTTGATTTAGAAATTCTAACAGATAAATTTTATTGGGTATATCTTATTACACTGAAAGAGTGGCGGAAGCATTTTATTGATATAGCTCGAAGCAGTGACGAGGATAAGTTACAACTGTTAAAAGCGATGATTGGTGTTTCCCGAAACAACAACGATGTGCCAAAACTGTTAAGCTCAAAACCATCATATGGGAGTCCACATTTAAGAGGACTATCATCTTGTAGTCCATCCTCGATGGGTAATAATACAAGGGGATTATGGACACCAATTGGTCAACAATGTGGCACACCACCAAATGCTCAAAAATGGCACACCACCGAATGCTCCACAATGGGCCACACAACCAAATAATTCACAACGAGAGTTTTCACCAAACCAGGCACAAAATTATCAACAAGAAGGGTCATCAGAAATAACTCCGACCAATGTTTAATATGTACAAAGTATGAGAAATCTTCAACAAGACATTTCAGATTCTGTAATTGTAGGAAATTCAGCAAATGCTCAAAAAACATCATTACATAGTCTTGATTTCAAAAATTATTATGAGCCTGCTTGTAAATCACCAACACCTACACATGGAGGTCTACTCAATATATGGGAAACCTCGAGAAGAACATATATAAATATATATAAATGTCAGAAAAGTGATTCAGAAGACAAAAATTAGTTTATGATAGTTATGTTTTATCATTCTCGTTTCTGGAATAAAAAGAATAAAATATGTTTTGATTAATAAGTTTTAATATTTTCTGTTACTTTTTAATATTAATTTATATTTTTTAATGATATATTTTCATTTATGTTTACAATTTTAGGTTTTTCGTATATGTCAGTTGAGAGCACACGGATTGCAAAACCTAAGTTACGAAGAGAATTAAATTTTGGAATTTTGAAAATGAGTAATTTGCAGAGTTAGTAATTCAACCAACACTAGCTTACTATCAGAGATGTTTTGAAAGAGCACCAATACAAACAGAAGGAGTTTTGTGATGGAGAAATATTTGGCATCAACGACAACAAGATGATGCTGTTTGTCTTCAGTTACTACGAATGTTATTGCCATGTTTCACAACATTATGTGATATGCTTCAAACAAATTATGGACTATAACCAACATTAAATATAAGCATTTAAGAAAATGTTGCTATGTTTCTACGGATATATGAGCACAATGAAGTTCAAAGAGATGTTGGTTTGAGATTTAGCCGATATTATCCATTTTTTAGTGGATTCGTTGGAGTTATGGATGGACACATGTATGTGTAAAAGTGAAGCCTAAGTTACAAGGAGTGTATTGAAGTTGACATGATCATGCATTGTTAAACATCATGGCAATATATGATATGAATATGTTATTCACATATATTTGGAATGGAGTATTGGGATTATGCCATGATACTGCTGTTCTGGCGATGGCAAAACAAAGCGACCATGACTTCTCTTTGCCTCCATTAGAGATATATTATCTTGTTGATTTTGGTTATCCAAACAAATAAAGATTTTTAGCTCCATACATATCATCACGAAATGGAATTGTGAGATATCATATGTCTCGGTTTAACTCTGATCCTGCTCCTAGGATTAAACAAGAGTTGTTCAATCGATATCATGTGTCATTGCGTTCTGTAATCGAGAAGAGTTTTGGAGTTTAGAAGAAAAGATGGAGGATTTTTTTGGATTTTCCAAGATATAGCATAAACGTTCAAAAGAGAGTGGTAATGGATACAATGAGATTATATAACTTTATCAAAATTTTAAATTTTTTAAATGTAGATTTTGCATATGTAATGGCAGACACAAATAAACAACAGATATTCAGAACATGACGTAGATGACACATATACAGCTGGGATAGTAGATAGAAAAATATAGCGCAGATAAGAGACAACATTGCAAAAATATTGTGGCAAAATCAAACTACTCGATAATTTTTGTAATTTATTTTTAATTGTATTTGTCTTTTTTAAATCATTTAACACTTTTTATGTATTATTAATTAAATATACATTTAACTTTTTAATTTAAATAAAATATAATATTGAAGATCCATATAAAAAAATAATATCACTAAATAAGAAAATTAATTTTTTAATGATAATAATATTATTTTTATATTCATATTTACTTATTTTTTAAATTCTGCATTACTTGTTGATATTTTCACCAATCAAAGATTATTTTGAGCCGCCAACTGTTTTCTCACAATCAAAAATTATTTTGCATGCCCGCACTAGTTGATGATGTAAGATCCTTCACTATTAGGTTTTTAATGCTTGAATCTTATTGATTATCTGACTTCTGAACTTAGTGTTTCTTTGTATCGAAATTGTTTGTTGAAATGTCTGAATCAACCTCTTAGTGAATTTGCTTATCCTTACACATGGGAATGGATGACTAAAGAGTTTATTGGCTTAATAGAACTGTTTTTTCTTGCTTGATTGTATCATGGTCTCTATTAAGAATTAGATCTTGTTTAGGTTGCTTTCAAAGGAGTCATTGTCGTGAAAGTGGATTGATTTACATGTTTAGAGTTCTATGCTAAAAGATCATGCATTCATTAATTGTTTGAACATCTTGTTTGAGGCCAATGATAATCTTAAATAAACTATTCCCATCCTATTACCTTGCTTGTTAAATTTGAATTTATCCTGTATTTGCTCTGTTTTGCTCTGTTATTTACTTTTTTCTTGATTAGTTCAAGAGTTGTGATCACTAGCTTTGAATCATTGCTCATAGTCCTGTTTCAGTTTGGTAACCACTTAGGGTGTAAGATTCTTAAACAATACTTATTTTCTTGGCTTAGCTTACAACTCATCATGCATTGTCTTTGATTCATCCACCCCAACTGGATTGACAACCATAAGTGTTTCAATGACATGATTTTAAACTTGAGAAATTGAGTCACAAAACTGAAAAAACGTTGTATCAATTTGGTGCTGTTGCCTACTCGGATTTGTTTGATCATAAAGATTTTAATTTTCTATGAAACTATACTTTTACTTTGATATAATTATTGACTACTCTATGAGCTGTGTTTCAGGTACAAACATGAATAAAAATAATCCTCCAAAGTTTATTGGAGCAGGAGATACAGCCGCAAGCTCTTCTTATACTTTCAGTCGTACCACATCCACATGGTTATAGCCGTCCCACTCAAAAATGTTCTTAGCAAATCGAGTCATTAAGACGACTCAAGAAGTGGGTGGTGGAACTCAGACAGTTCGACATCCCGTATGTGGGACGTATGACAATCTAGTCTCAAGCCCTCGTCGACTTTATTGTTGACTTCACACTACAAAACCCCGAGAGCGAAGGCATCACCCCGATCGAGACACTGACCCCGTGGGGGAATAAAAACTATGCGTTGACGGGGTTTCCATTCCTCCGAAGGGGCGAGGAGCCGGATTGGGTATCATGCTCATCTCTCCCGAAGGAGACATTACACACTGGGCTATCCGTTGTGGCTTCGACGCCACCTACAATGAAGAAGAGTACAAAGCAGCTGTCGTTGGACTTCAAATCGCGATAGACCTTGAAGCAATAGACTTCGTCCTACACAGTGACTCGCAACTCATCATGAGCCAGGTACGGAGCAAACCAGGCAAAAGATGACCGAATGACAGCATATTTAGGCGCCGGCAAGTCCTCCATGCGGAAGTTTGCGACGATCCGACTAAAGCAAATCCTACAGAGGCAGAATAGTACGACTAATGCCTTAGTAAAGCTAGTATCCTCTCTAATCAAGATCCCAAAGGAAAGAATCCGAGTGATCCACCTGCAATGGCCATCCCTCCAGAACATTGAGGACATAAGATTGGTTGAAATCAACCACATAGAAGACTACAAAAGCTGGATGCAAGCGGTATGGGATTACCTACGATAAAGAACACTCCTGGAAACCTCCCGCGAGGCGGAGAAAGTGTGAAAGCAAGCCTCTCACTATATTGATCTCCCGGGGGCAACTCTACAAAAAGTCATACAGAAGGATACCTCTCAAAGATATGAAATCAAACTAAGCTATATAACACCAACGCACCCCAGTCGAATGGGCAGGTGGAGTCATCAAACAAAACCATCTTGAAGTGCCTCATGAAACGGATCCTCCAGGACCAGAGGTGCTTGGGCCGAAGAGCTC